TCAGTACCTAGATGAGTGACCGATTGGGGAGGCCAGGTGCTGTAAGCTTGAATGCGTGGGTAATATAATTGAAAACAGTTCCGAATTGTTAATCGGAGAGCCGAGTTCCAGTTTCAGTTAGGTTCGTTATATTCACTTACAAGCAAATAATCTTGGGAAAGATATGAACCCGCCTTTTCTCCCCTAGCTATGGGTTGAATAGTACAAATTGTACCAGTGTATCATTATGACCTTCAAAATATTTCTGGATTTAAACAACCTGCAAAAGTTTGATAAGCCGTAAAACACAAATTAATCTTCTGTATATTCAGCACATATGTAGCAGAAAACGCCAGGGTCATTGTTGCAATATTTACGCTTAGAATTCATGATTAAAGTTTTTATACTTGAAATATAGAGACACAAGGTCACCGACAGAGTCTGATACACAAATCCTGTCTGCTGGAGGTATCTGGCCTCTAAACTGCCATTCGTATATGCAACAGAATAATAGTATTAAAAGTTTCTCCTGAATATCTAAAGAATACTACAATTTAAGGAATGTAAACTGTTATATCCCAGGCTGATAGGATAAACAAAGTATATAAAATAAAAGAGTCATTGTATTTTAAATACAAACAATATTTATTTTTTGTCTCTCTTTACTTGATTCAGATGGATGAAAAAGGATAAAAATCAATCCATGTACGTGTGTTTAAACGGCAGCCATTTTGTTTCTCTCTCTGTCTGGAAGTATTTTTTCAAAAAGTAATTTTCTGTACTCAAAGTGAAGGATTTTCTTTCTTGGATCGAGTTATTTCCCCTATCATAAAAAAAGCGACAAGCAGAGAGAGCAAATCTAACATACTCGAAGAAAATTAAATCATTGAAATTTATCTATGTCAAATATCTTAAAAAGTAGATCCAATTCAACAGAATTAAGTACTTTTTCGGATTCAGCGACCTTGGTTTATCCTAAAAACGTTCTATCCTGTGCTTTTTGAAAAATATTTTTTGTGGCCGGTGTTATTAGCCTACCAGTGCATCTAAAGTTATCATTTATTTATTAATTAAAAAATATCACTACGAATAAAATAATTACTGATTTAGTTTCTTTATTGCTGCGTTTGGTCATTTTTGACAATATCAACATCCTTTTATTTTATGAGTGATTGTGCCTTCTCATAATTAAAAAGAAGCAAGGAATTATGATTATTTTCCCATTTTTCTATCCGATAATTCGGAAGATAAAACTAATTGTTATCTTTTCAAAAACAGCTGAATATAAAATCCAGTCATGGCTGTTAGACAATTTCTGCGACCACATCACCATTTATATCAGGCGACCTAATTACCCAGACTGCAACACTCTTGATTAATGTAGGGCACAATTGGGCTGGAGACCAACAAAACTCCTTGTAGCACCAAAGATGAACTGAAGACAAAAAATTATGGCAGTATTCCCGAACTTAAACAAGGAGTTGCAAGAGAGATCTTCTGAAGGCCGTAGTTGAAAACAATGGCGATTTTTTAAATAAATTTACTCTTTAGTATTACAAAATATTTTTGTGTAATTTTGGTAGATATATCTGTTAAAATGAGATGTCAGTGTTATTTTCATTTTTGCGTAATTTAGAGGACAATTTATCTATAGCTCTGTATGTGTGTATGCATGTGTTTGTTTTATGCAACTTGTGATGTAGTTGCGAGAGTATTGACAATTACTAAACTGTCTATTAATGACATAAAAGTGTAAAACAAACCTATGTGCATTTTTGAATTTGTATTTACTCAACGCTCCACGAGGTCAGGTTGTGAGACAAGGTTGGTTTCATGTGGGGAGCCCGAGCTCGTACACCCGGGCTAGGAACAAAAATTGCCCTCAGCCCCCACAACCGTAGGTTTCGCAGGCCTTGATACGAGCACCGATCCTTCTCTCTGGTGCAATGAGAGGTCGCGGTCTCGAGCAGCTATTCCCCAGGGTTGGGCACCTCTCAGCATAATTTTCCTCAGTCGCAACTCAGTCCTTTGACGGAGCCGCTCCTGAGCGCACTTTGCCACAACTGAGAGATGATATATAATGTGTTACAAACTACCCGAGAGAGCAATTTACACACTGTGCATTTTTTAATTAATCTTTCCATCATCCGTACACGTTCTCAGATACGAATCATATTATTTTGAAATTGAGGATTTCTGATCTAAGGATTTTCTATGTCAAGTAGGACTCGTGCCGTGGGTGCTACTTGAGGGAGGGCACCACGACGCCGCTGAACAAATAATATGCAATGTAATATTCATTTGTTAGACATTAAGCACAAAATCATTTGGTAACATTCGACACTGATAGACTTTTAGTGTCGAATGTTTCTCAATATTGACCCATCGTAAATGACACATTTGGATCAGTGAAAGCAAAAAAGGCGTAGTTTCAGGTCTAACCGCCTCCTTACTCAGTTTCTTGCATCCACATTTACTAGTAAGTACACACGAAAAAAAATTATTAAAATATAAAAGATTAAAACATATATTCTTAGATCTAGACTTTCAAATTTTGATATTTTTTTAATGATTTCATCGTAAACAAGGTAACAAAGCCACTAAGATGTAGGGGGTAAGAATATAAGAAAATAAAAAGCATTATTAAGGAGCAAGAACAATAAAAGAACATAAATTAAGAAGCTAAAAGATAACGATTGACATTGCATTTAAATTTTTTGAAGATCAAAATTGACCTGAAAGCATGTAGATGGGAGAGAGTCCCAAAAGCGGGAAGTGCGAGAGAAGAAACTGTTAGCATAGAACTTACGGTTGCATCTGGCCATTTTAAATGTAAAATAATGAGCTGTTGCTGCCAATCTACGACTGCGCTTAAATTCATAGAGTCTATTTACCATAGACGAGAGTGAATCCGAAAAATTACCATGAAAGTATTAATTGAAAAGTCATAGGGAAGCTACGTTACGGCGCTGGGAAAGTGACTGAAGACAAGATGCCAGGTCAGAACCAATAACGTTGCAGAGTCTTCTTTGGATTTTATTAAGAACCTCTAAAGGAGCACCGGACCAGATGTGGCAGCAGTATTCGAAGTCAGGACAAATGGTAGACAAATATGTAAGATAGATTATGTCTAGAAAGACACAGCGAACCAAAGTTCCTAGTAACAGACCTAACAATTGATTCAATATAATCTTTCTACTTCATGTCAGCGGAAAGCCTTGAGAAGGCGCAACGAGTCACTCTCGTGGAGGTTAGCATCTGCCATACTGATAGAAAGCAGAAAGTGTTCTCTCAGATGATTAATAGAGAACATTAACATTATAACTTATAAAAATTTAACACAAAAGACGATGGACATAAGAGCCCAAATAATTCACACAGATAACTGAAATTTTATACCGATCAGCGTTCTGTTTAAATATGATCACGTAGTCGTCACGTGGGCGATGTTGTTAAAACGTATTCGAAGATGATTTCCAAAATTAAAATATTAAAAAGTCGATTGAAAAATTTTTATAAACAGTTCAAGAAATCTCTTACGTTGATGTCGGAATACGTAGTGACCAATTGGTTCTTATATCTTCAACAAGCTTGAAGTCCTTCCCGTTACAAGGCAAATCCAAAAGTGATATATATATATATATGTATGTATGTGTGTGTGTGTGTGTGTGTGTGTGTGTGTGTACGGTGCATATTGTAAATATCAATGATACAGCTAACATATTATCCATTCAACTAAATATGTTAGCTCTATCATTGATATTGAGGGCTTTCCAATATGCACCACACACACACACACACACACACACACACACACATATATATATATATATATATATATATATATATATATTTGTGACCGTCGGTTTCACGCTTATGCGATCCTGAAGCCAACTCCTGAGAGTTTGTCTGAGGATTGCATAAGCTTGAAACCGACGGTCACAAATTCATATCCATTTAAATATATATATATATATATATATATATATATATATATATATATATATATATATAGTTTATTTGGCAAACAATCTTTTTATACAAGTTTCGTTAAAGACGACCGACAAGTTACTGCTATTAAGCTTTTTATTTAATTTTTCTTGTGTTCGTACAAGTGCTTTCTTCTCTGGACACAAAGTGTGTAAATACTGTCCAAAGTTCTGCATATCTGAGCGCTTTCGGCTATTCTTTTACCCATTATCAACTGAATGTGCTGGGGTTTTATGTATGTATCTGAAGTTATAGGAATGTTTTATTTTCCAGTGGATTTTTTGTATTTGAAATAGAAGTCCTATTTTATTTATCAAATATTCGGTATTAGTCTATCTTGGGTTATATAGCCTTGGGTGGCAACCGTTCTATGAGAAGGTAACACTGAATTCAAAACACAACCTATACTGCGGCAGCAGTACATGTGGTGCTCCACGACCCTGATGGACCACGTGATTTGCGATCGCGCGCACGATTACGTCTATCGGTCTGCACATTCGAAAAATCTAAACGCTAAAAATTTAACGTAAAGATTTTTTTTTTAAATTATCGTTTCCTCATCTTAAACACTTTCCCTCATTACATAATTATGACCAACACTCCCCCTGTGACACATATATTATTTCATCAATAAAAAACAACAACATTACTTTAGTCCGACCAAGTCCTTCTAGAGGACGAAACGCGTTACACACTATTAATGCGTGTATATATCATTATAAAAATGAGTGGTTGTAGCGATCATGATGATAATGATGATTTTAGGGGGTGATAATGATACTGATAAGAACGATGCCAATTTTGGGTGAGACGAAAGGGTGAAAAGATGTTCACCCCTTTCAAAGTTAGACGTCAAACATTACATAGAGTCGAACGCAGACAGATTTTGTTTGAACGATTCTTATCAAGTAAGTACTCGTCAGTTGGCACTGACCGTGAAGAGTATTGTGACTGCAGAGAGAAAGAAATTTTGCACGTAAATAGAGATGTAAGAAAGAAAGAAAGAAACAAAGAAAATCAAAGAGATAAAACTAGAGAAAGAGAGAGTGAGGGGAGAGGAGAGAGTGGAAGGATACGAGGGAGACAGAAAAAGATAAATTGAAAATGGTGATTATTGTGAAGAATAAAAGCAGGGCGGAGTTCTTTAGGTTTAAAAGAAAAAGAAGTAGAAATGAAAAACAACGAAAAAAATAATTAAACAGAAATAAAGAAAAAAAGAAGGAAGAGAAAAGAAAGAGAGGAAAAGTAAATAAGAGAAAGATAGGAGAGAAAAGAATAGTAAATAAGAGAGAGAAGGGAGAGAAAAGAAAGAGAAGAATAGAAAAAAAGAGAGAGAAGGTACATAAAATAAAGAGAGGAAAAGTAAATAAGAGAAAGAAGAGAGAGAAAAGAAAGAGAGGAAAAGTAAATAAGAGAGAGAAGGTACATAAAATAAAGAGAAGAAAGTAAATAAGAGAAAGAAGGGAGAGAAAAGAAAGGGAGGAAAAGTAAATAAGAGAAAGAAGGGAGAGAAAAGAAAGAAAAGAATAGTAAATAAGAGAAAGAAGGGAGAGAAAAGAAAGGGAAGAAAAGTAAATAAGAGAGAGAAGGGAGAGAAAAGAAAGAGAAGAATAGAAAAAAAGAGAGAGAAGGTACATAAAATAAAGAGAGGAAAAGTAAATAAGAGAAAGAAGGGAGAGAAAAGAAAGGGAGGAAAAGTAAATAAGAGAAAGAAGGGAGAGAAAAGAAAGGGAGGAAAAGTAAATAAGAGAAAGAAGGGAGAGAAAAGAAAGAGAGGAAAAGTAAAGAAGAGAAAGAAGGGAGAGAAAAGAAAGAGAGGAAAAGTAAAAGAAGAGAAAGAAGAGAGAGAAAAGAAAGAAAAGAATAGTAAATAAGAGAGAGAAGGTACATAAAATAAAGAGAAGAAAGTAAATAAGAGAAAGAAGGAGAGAAAAGAAAGGGAGGAAAAAGTAAATAAGAGAAAGAAGGGAGAGAAAAGAAAGGAGGAAAAGTAAATAAGAGAAAGAAGGAGAGAAAAGAAAGAGAGGAAAAGTAAAATAAGAGAAAGAAGGGAGAGAAAAGAAAGAGAGGAAAAGGAAAAGAAGAGAAAGAAGAGAGAGAAAAGAAAGAAAAGAATAGTAAATAAGAGAGAGAAGGTACATAAAATAAAGAGAAGAAAGTAAATAAGAGAAAGAAGGAGAGAAAAGAAAGAGAGGAAAAGTAAATAAGAGAAAGAAGGAGAGAAAAAAAGGAGGAAAAGTAAATAAGAGAAAGAAGGGAGAGAAAAGAAAGAGAGGAAAAGTAAATAAGAGAAAGAAGGGAGAGAAAAGAAAGGGAGGAAAAGTAAATAAGAGAAAGAAGAGAGAGAAAAGAAAGAGAGGAAAAGTAAAGAAGAGAAAGAAGAGAGAGAAAAGAAAGAAAAGAATAGTAAATAAGAGAGAGAAGGTACATAAAATAAAGAGAAGAAAGTAAATAAGAGAAAGAAGGGAGAGAAAAGAAAGAGAGGAAAAGTAAATAAGAGAAAGAAGGGAGAGAAAAGAAAGAGAGGAAAAGTAAATAAGAGAAAGAAGGGAGAGAAAAGAAAGAGAGGAAAAGTAAAGAAGAGAAAGAAGAGAGAGAAAAGAAAGAAAAGAATAGTAAATAAGAGAGAGAAGGTACATAAAATAAAGAGAAGAAAGTAAATAAGAGAAAGAAGGGAGAGAAAAGAAAGAGAGGAAAAGTAAATAAGAGAAAGAAGGGAAAGAAAAGAAAGGGAGGAAAAGTAAATAAGAGAAAGAAGAGAGAGAAAAGAAAGAAGAATAGTAAATAAGAGAGAGAAGGTACATAAAATAAAGAGAAGAAAGTAAATAAGAGAAAGAAGAGAGAAAAGAAAGAGAGGAAAAGTAAATAAGAGAAAGAAGGAGAGAAAAGAAAGAGAGGAAAAAGTAAATAAGAGAAAGAAGGGAGAGAAAAGAAAAGGAGGAAAAGTAAAGAAGAGAAAGAAGAGAGAGAAAAGAAAGAAGAATAGTAAATAAAGAGAGAGAAGGTACATAAAATAAAGAGAAGAAAGTAAATAGGAGAAAGAAGGGAGAGAAAAGAAAGGAGGAAAAGTGAATAAGAGAAAGAAGGGAGAGGAAAGAAAAGAGAGGAAAAGTAAATAAGAGAAAGAAGGAGAGAAAAGAAAAGGAGGAAAAGTAAAGAAGAGAAAGAAAGAGAGAAAAGAAAGAAGAATAGTAAATAAAGAGAGAAGGTACATAAAATAAAAGAAGAAAGTAAAAAGAGAAAAAAGAGAAAAGAAGGAAGAGAAGAGAAAGAAGGAGAGAAAGGAGAGAAAAGTAAATAAGAGAAAGAAGGAGAGAAAAGAAAGAGAGGAAAAGTAAATAAGAGAAAAAGAAGGAAAGAGAAAAATAAGAAGAGAGGAAAAGTAAAGAAGAGAAAGAAGGAGAGAAAAAAAGAAAAAGAAAATAGTAAATAAGAGAGAGAAAGGTAAATAAGAAAATAAAGAGAAGAAAGAAAAAAAGAAGAGAAAGAAGAGAGAAAAGAAAGAAAAGAAAGAGAGAGAAAAGTAAAAATAAGAGAAAGAAGGAGAGAAAAGAAAGGGAGGAAAAGTAAATAAGAGAAAGAAGGAGAGAAAAGAAAGAGAGGAAAAGTAAATAAGAGAAAGAAGGAGAGAAAAGAAAGAGAGGAAAAGTAAAGAAGAGAAAGAAGGAGAGAAAAGAAAGAGAGGAAAAGTAAAGAAGAGAAAGAAGGGAGAGAAAAGAAAGAGAGGAAAAGTAAATAAGAGAAAGAAGGGAGAGAAAAGAAAGGAGGAAAAGTAAATAAGAGAAAGAAGAGAGAGAAAAGAAGGGAAGAAAAGTAAATAAGAGAGAAAGAAGAAAAGAAAAGAAAGAAGAAAGTAAATAAGAGAAAGAAAAGAGAAAATAAAGAGAAGAAAGTAAATAAGAGAAAGAAGGAGAGAAAAGAAAGGGAGGAAAAGTAAATAAGAGAAAGAAGGAGAGAAAAAAAAAGAGGAAAAGTAAATAAGAGAAAGAAGAGAGAGAAAAGAAAAAAGAATAAGAGAAAAAGAGAGAAAAGAAAGAAGAATAGTAAAAGAGAGAGAAGGTACATAAAATAAAAGAGAAGAAAGTAAATAAGAGAAAGATGGAGAGAAAAGAAAGAGAGGAAAAGTAAATAAGAGAAAGAAGGGAGAGAAAAGAAAGAGAGGAAAAGTAAATAAGAGAAAGAAGGGAGAGAAAAGAAAGGGAGGAAAAGTAAAGAAGAGAAAGAAGAGAGAGAAAAGAAAGAAGAATAGTAAATAAGAGAGAGAAGGTACATAAAATAAAGAGAAGAAAGTAAATAAGAGAAAGAAGGGAGAGAAAAGAAAGAGAGGAAAAGTAAATAAGAGAAAGAAGGGAGAGAAAAGAAAGGGAGGAAAAGTAAAGAAGAGAAAGAAGAGAGAGAAAAGAAAGAAGAATAGTAAATAAGAGAGAGAAGGTACATAAAATAAAGAGAAGAAAGTAAATAAGAGAAAGAAGGGAGAGAAAAGAAAGGGAGGAAAAGTAAATAAGAGAAAGAAGGGAGAGAAAAGAAAGAGAGGAAAAGTAAATAAGAGAAAGAAGGGAGAGAAAAGAAAGGGAGGAAAAGTAAATAAGAGAAAGAAGGGAGAGAAAAGAAAGAAAAGAATAGTAAATAAGAGAGAGAAGGGAGAGAAAAGAAAGGGAGGAAAAGTAAATAAGAGAGAGAAGGGAGAGAAAAGAGAGAAAAAAAGTAAATAAGAGAAAGATAGGAGAGAAAAGAAAGAGAGGAAAAGTAAATAAGAGAAAGAAGGGAGAGAAAAGAAAGAGAAGAAATGTAAATGAGAGAGAGAAGAGAGAGAAAAGAAAGAGAAGAATAGTAAATAAGAGAGAAAAGAGAGAGAAAAGAAAGAGAAGAATAGTAAATAAGAGAGAGAAGGTACATAAAATAAAGAGAGGAAAAGTAAATAAGAGAAAGGAGAGAAAAGAAAGAGAGGAAAAGTAAAGAAGAGAAAGAGCGCTAGCAAAGAAAGAATAAAATCATAGAAAGAAAGCAGAGAACAAAAATAGAGGAAAAGACATGAACAGGAAAAGAAGGAGAGAAATTCAAGAGTAATTATAGAAAATAATCGAAAGAAAGAAAGGAAAAGTCAAAGAAACAGAAAAGAAAAAGAGAAGGAAAAGAAAATTTGAGAGGAACTGGTATTTATGATACTCTCATTTTTCATTGAGCCAGACGAGATGATTCCGTAACTCATCTATAGTGCGCAGCCGCGAAAGAACTAGGTGAACCTCGACAGTAGATAATGGCCGGCGACACGGTCGGCTTGTCATGAGGCGTCTCCTTATCAACGTCAAGACTAGGTCCAGAGTGTCAAGCATTTATGCTTCGCGGCCGCTAACAAGGTAATCTGATTACACTCGGTCTATGAGCAGAGTTCAAAGATCAGTAAATGATAAAAAGGAATTTTAAAAATGGCAGGAAAGGTGGAGCAGATAGCGGAAGAAAAACACGAAGGTCAACGAATAATTAGTTTATGGTTAGTTTAATGAGACCTGTGTGTTTGCTGCTGTTTAGGTTCCAAATGAGGCTTATCGACTTTTTGTTTGGTTTATGTGCAGATGGCGCTCGAAAAAAAATGTCGCAGACTGTGAATATTGCAGATTTTACAAGAGAGAATAGATACTATTGAATAACAAGGGTCCACGTAATCTACCATTCGTCATTAGTACAGTGTTCGATTCGCAGCCGCTATTAAGTCTCCATACTAAACAGATATTGCCGCGGAAAATGGAATCGGTGAGCAGAGTTCAAATACCTGGCCCGACTATAGCATTCACTTCCAAGCAAATGCCCTTAGAAAAGGTATGAATCCGTTTCTTCTTCCTCCAGCTATGGGTTAAATAACAGGGTAGACAGGGTTTTCTAGTAGGTGGCAAACTGTCTAAACAGAACAGAAAAACATGTCGCCATATATGGAGTGTCACAGTTGCCTACGTCCCGAGAGGATATGGTATTAAAAAAAAAACTAGACGTAGCTAAAGTTACTACCGTCGGCCCTCTAATTTCGCAAAGGTTAGAGGTACAGAATCACGCAAAAGTGGAAAAGGGCGAATATCACTTCTCCCATCACCAAACATTGGGACACATTATGAGAAAAGAGGGCTCGGGGTATTTAGCACTCACGTATTGATATATATGAAGATATTTACTGTGAGGTTCACCCTGTACAAGGCCCGGGGGTACTCTATGTAAAGAGTTACAGTAAGAGGCAGTTTATGCAGATAGAAGGAGATAACGATTAACCCTAGGTTTGAACAAGTTAGGATTGTAGTGATCGGAGAAACATCCCCTTGGGAGCCGGTTTCACGGAGCAGTGGTTCGTACGAAGAAGCTATTCGAGTGGAAGTTACTTCTCAACAATGGAATACGAAGAGAATGAGGATAGTTTGCTAAAATTTGAGTGGCATGGCGGGTTTTAGCCGCGAAGGCTTGAACTGGCGGAATTAAAGAATGCAGTTTGTCCCAGTAATTTCCATTAAGTAGTGATATCGCAGTAAAAGGTTTGCCACATACCGCCTGTGAAAGAGATGTTGGAGGGTGAGAAAACAAGGACTTGGAGACGCTTTTGGACTGTGAAAGAGATGTTGGAGGGTGGGAAAATAAGGACTTGGAGACGATTTTGGACTGTGAAAGAGATGCTGGAGGGTGGGAAAATAAGCACATGAAGACGATTTTGGACAGTGAAACAGATCTTGGAGTGTGGGAAAATAAGGACTTGAAGACGATTTTGGACTGTGTAAGAGATGCTGGAGGGTGGGAAAATAAGGACTTGGAGACGATTTTGGACTGTGAAACAGATGCTGGAGGGTGCGAAAATAAGGACTTGGAGACGATTTTGGACTGTGAAACAGATGTTGGAGGGTGCGAAAATAAGGACTTGGAGACGATTTTGGACTGTGAAACAGATGCTGGAGGGTGCGAAAATAAGGACTTGAAGACGATTTTGGACTGTGAAACAGATGTTGGAGGGTGCGAAAATAAGGACTTGAAGACGATTTTGGACTGTGAAACAGATGTTGGAGGGTTGGAAAATAAGGACTTGAAGACGATTTTGGACTGTGAAACAGACGCTGGAGGGTGGGAAAATAAGCACATGAAGACGATTTTGGACAGTGAAACAGATCTTGGTGTGTGGGAAAATAAGGACTTGGAGACGATTTTGGACTGTGTAAGAGATGCTGGAGGGTGGGAAAATAAGGACTTGGAGATGCTTTTGTAATGTGAAACAGATGTTGGATGGTTGGAAAATAAGGACTTGGAGACGATTTTGGACTGTGAGACAGATGTTGGAGGGTGGGAAAATAAGGACTTGGAAACGATTTTGGACTGTGAAACAGATGTTGGAGGGTGGGAAAATAAGGACTTGAAGACGATTTTGGACTGTGAGACAGATGTTGGAGGGTGGGAAAATAAGGACTTGGAAACGATTTTGGACTGTGAAACAGATGTTGGAGGGTGGGAAAATAAGGACTTGGAGACGATTTTGGACTGTGAAACAGATGTTGGTGGGTGGGAAAATAAGGACTTGGAGATGATTTTGGACTGTGAAACAGATGCTGGTGGGTGGGAAAATAAGGACTTGGAGACGATTTTGGACTGTGAAACAGATGCTGGTGGGTGGGAAAATAAGGACTTGGAGACGATTTTGGACTGTGAAACAGATGCTGGTGGGTGGGAAAATAAGGACTTGGAGACACAATAGGACTCTGCCGAGACTGGAAAAAGACGGGATTGGACAGCTCCCGCCCAAATATGACATCACTACTCCATTTTAGATCTGATCTGTCTCTTATAAAGGTATAGGATAGCAAGGGAATGGTACAGAGAACCGACCATTATTTTCTGCATCTTTAGCGATAGATTGTGTGTACGAGTTCCACTTTAGGTCAGGATTGGGTTTAAGTCTCAATAGTCTCTGACGGAGGGTCCCTAATTGGGTGAAGAAAGGAAGTGCACGGGGAAACGCAAGTAAGTATGGGTGAATTGATGCTAGACTAGAGAAAAATGGTAATGGCAATACAGAGATTTGTCGCCGTTTCCTTATAAGCAAACATTCGAAAATCATTGGCCGAACAGTTAGTGTTCCTGTCGGTTGAAATTTATAAACTATTTCTGTCAAGAAATTTTATCAGGAAATCCATTGTTAGTTCTCTTTCTAGTATTGATAAAAAGGAAGGACATGGTACATAAAAGAAGATAGGATGATTTGTGGGGGTGGGGCGGAAAATTAATTTTTCTCATTTATTGTGAAAATTATTAGGAACAAACTAGAGACAACAGAAATATGAATCTACAAAAGGATACTGAGAATTCAATGTTTGGAACGAGTAAGCAACAAGGAAAGCAACAAAGAAAATGGCAACACTTACACTCAGAATCAGGAAAAGAGTAAATTTCGTTATGGTGCTCTTTTTCTCACAGACGGTGCCCAACTGACCCTACTATACTGTGCAGTCAACAAAATCAAAAACAATATACTTGCCCGAAATTAAAAATATAAAGTGGTAACAATTTACCCATCGCACACTGTATAATTGTTATTTTAAAACAGAAATGTTTGATTCTTGTCCGGATGTTAGTATCACACCAAACGGTAAAAACGGTAATTGTTATCATAAAAGACATTTTTGCGGAACAAAAGAGATTGAGATGCTTTTTTTTTCCTCTAAGGAACACGTTTTTTATGAGTTCTGTAAATATACATGCAAAATGTACTGTCTCTATATCAACCGGGGCTAAAGTGTTTTTATGTGTAGGGTCTGGCCTTTAATGCGAATCATTTTCACAGCGTGAATATATATATATATATATATATATATATATATATATATATATATATGAAGAAATATACTCTTAAGGTGTGCTATATTTATGGAATAAAGTGCTCAATATCAGAAATAGAGCGTGTGTAAATATAAAATGAATCGTCAGGCCACGATTGCGTCTAGCATGAAACAGCCTGTCGCCTCTAAGTGTTGACTTCAATGTTACTCATATATATATATATATATATATATATATATATATATATATATATATATATATATAAAGAAAAAACAGACCAGTTTAAGGCTCTTATTTGTTATAATTTATTTCATCAGGGAATTTTATTTTTCTCTGGATCTTCAGACTTCACATTCAAAGGTGAAATGAAAAATGAATTTAAAATTTACACTTCTGACGGACAGTACTAAGCTTATATAAAGTTCCAGAGAAAAATAAAATTCTCTGATAAAATAAATTATAATACATGGAGCCTTAAAGTGGTCTGTTTTACTTTAAATTAAGTTATTCGCCCTGACTTAGCATTGAGCTCTCAGAATTTCATCCTCCTTGGAGTTATCCATACGGATTACCAAGATTTTCGTTATTCATATATATATATATATATATATATATATATATATATATAGATAGATAGATAGATAGATAGATAGATAGATAGATATTAGTGGTAAATATACAAATACATATGCAATCATATATCTAAAATATATAGATATATATACATATATACCTGTATAAAAATAATTCATAGAGGATAGAATCCAGGTAGAACTCATCCGTATATATATAAATTCTATATATATATTATATATGTGCGGTACCTATTGGAAAGCCTTCAATATCAGTGATAGAGCTAACATATTGTTATACCGGAACATACGCATTCTATTGTTAATAGCCTCTCCCACAGATAATAAGTAGTAGTAGTAGCAGTCGCCAGAGCTCAGTGGAGTTGGTGAGTCAGTGGATGTCGGACATTAAAGTATCAACCACCACAACTAGATTGCTACGTCATCAACTATTATTTCAAGTTCCTAACGTTTTGTACGTCGAACCTATTTTAGGACCGACTTAGTGAAATACAAGACTCCACTGTGAAAACTACTCTACAAAACATATTTAGTTGAATGGATAATATTGTGGGGTTTCCAATATTCACCGCACATATTTAATATATATATATATAGATATGAATTTGTGGCCGTCGGTTTCACGCTCAAGCGATCCTCAAACAAACCCTTAGTTCGCATAAGCCTGAAACCGACGGCCACACATTCATTCAACTAAATATATATATATATATATATATATATATATATATATATATATATATATATAATAATGTGTGTGTGTGTGTGTGAACTATTGGCGAGAATGTTCAACCTTTGATATCATACGACAAGCATCCATCTATGACGCAGCAGGTGAACATAATAATATAGGAAGCATTACTTTTGGATCGACCTTCTGCTATAGTGGAACA